TAGGGTGACGGGGGGGGTTAGTGTGGGGGTTATAGAGAGGGTGAGTGTTAGGGTTACAGGGGGGGGGTTAGTGTTGGGGTTATAGAGAATGTTGGTGTTAGGCTTACAGGGAGGCTTCGTTTTGGGGTTATAGAGAGGGTAGGTGTTAGGGTTACGAGGGGGAGGGTTAGTGTTGGGGTTACAGGGAGGCTTAGTGTTGGGGTTATAGAGAGGGTTAGTGTTGGGGTTACAGGGAGGCTTAGTGTTGGGGTTATAGAGAGGGTAGGTGTTAGGGTTACAGGGAGGTTTGGTGTGAGAACAAGCATTTGCATGTCTATTACAGGGACGGTTGGGGTCACCTATAGTAACAGTGACTGAAGCCCCTAACCTGGAAGACATGTAGCCTTGCTGGAAATTCCATTGATCTTTTTTTTTTCTTGACAATCTGAGCTGTAAGCCCTCATGAAGGGGGAGTGTTTGGGTCCCTGAAGCCCATTGGCTGTTTAATTTCCCCTAATTCAGAGTAACTAATATACTTCCTCTCTACGAATATTGGTTTGGTGCTCTTAATACTTTTTAATTTCTGCCATAAAGCCCTGATGGGGGTATCAGCATTTCCTCACTCTATCCAAAGCAATTTTATGATTTACTGAACTGCCCTCGTTGTTGCTTTTTCTGCCTGCTGGGAGTTCGGCTTCAAATGCGCTTCCTCCAATTTATTTTCCAGGTTTTGTGAGCAATCTTCACCTTCAATCACCAAGCTGCTGCAAATTGACAGTCGGGGAGTGATGGTGACAGGGATGATAAATGGCTGAAGCAGATGACGCATATTATAAATATCCAGCTCCAATATCACTGATAACGGTGATGGATTGTTCTCCGGGAGGGAACAAATACTGTATCAGAGGCCAGGTCTCATTGTGATATATACATGGGTAAGGTGCAGGACGTGGGGGCCTTTATGTACATGTGTGTTGTGCCATTTACTGCTACAAAAAAAAAACAAAACAAGGGGAAATTATTTTTGGATCTTCAGTGAGCACATGATTGAGGTTATTGTTATAAGATTACTATAACCAGTTATGCCGCAGAGCCATTTTTATATTTTAGCTATGGACTTTTAAAATCAGAAGTATCATATGTTGATCCATTTAAAAAAGCAGCGGTAGGGTATTAAAGGAGAACTATGGGGTTAAGGCTTTTCCCCATAGTTCTCCTTAGGGTAACGGGAGGACACAAACTAGCGTCCTCCCGTCACCCTAGGCTCAGTAAACCGCGAGCTTTAGCTCGCAGTATACTGAGACGCTGCAGTATACCGCCAGCTGCTGCTCGCGGTATACTGAGATGCCGCAGCTGAAGCGGACCCCGACAATTGTGCCGGGATCTGCCCAGCTGTGTGACTGACAGCTGGCTCTGCCTATCTAGAGGCAGAGCCAGCTGTACCCGCCCCCTCCCCCGTCCGTTCCGCCAGTCAGCGCAGGCGGATCGGAGCAGGGAGAGGGGAATCCAGCCCCTCCCCTGTCACGGCAGAGAGCCGTGACAGGATCGAGAGGTGAGCGAACGCCGGTATGTGTTCGCTCACCTCCCGATCTACTGAGCCGACCTGTGACAGTCTCATTGTCACAGGTCGGCTAGAACTATGAGGTGAGTGAAAAGCACTCACCTCATAGTTCTCCTTTAACATTACTCATTTTATGAATGGGCTGTATTAGGCAGTGGAGTAACTTTGTGGTGCATAGTGAGGAGTGGGTAGTGTATCTGCTCTGCTCTGTAGCTACACACCTTCAGGCCATTTAAAATGAATGAAGAGAAATAAAAAGTAGGTAAGTGAGCCCATTTATAAAGCACAGCGGCGTGCCTTACAGGTGTGCATTGCACTCTGCTTGCTTCAAAACAAGCAAAGCCCAGTTAAATTGAATTAAGGAAAATAACATGCCAGGAGGAGAGCCTGCTCATGTCACTGGCTCCCCCTTCAATCATGCAGTTCTCTTTGTAGTGCTAGACACAGAGAACTCCATGAGGTACCGCAAGCTCCATACTGCAGCCTGCATTTTATGAATGAGCTGTCGAGTAACCTTGTGGTGCATAGTGAGGAGCAAATAGTGGATCTGTGCTGTAGATGCATGCTTTGAGGCCACTTAAAAAATTAGGAAAAATAAAAAGCACGGTCTTGTGATTGGCTTCTCCTCCAATCACAAAGTTCTCTGTGTAGTGTTAAGCAGTGAGGAGTGGCAGGGGAACACTGGCACGGTGAGTATCGGGGGGTTGGGGGCCCTCTTTGCATTGTCACTTGAATGGGTAAGGTGGCATGGTCCCTTTAAAACAACTCTGTAGCCATTAGGAGAACATGCAAATATAAGCACCTTGATGCTTCCCTGTCTCCACCAGGCACTGTGGTCTCTTCAGCCGACCCCTATTGATGTAGTAGAGGGTGGGAGGAACCACAGAGCCAAGTGAGGGGACATGCTCTTTGACACAGCTGGATGTGTCCAATAGCAGTGGTGCCTAGAGTTGTGCAAAAGAGCAAAGATTTATCACACCACCCACCTGACCTATAAGTATAAAGGTTCTTCTTCCATTGAGTGCTTTTCCGAGTGGCAACAGTTGCTCTGATAACATTTTACAGACATGGAAAAGAAAAACAATGTATAGGCTAGCCGCTAGGCAATGTAAAGGTCACCGAGATACAAGCTTGTATTGATAGTTTTGCTGCTGAAGGTAGTAGACTCTCTTGCGGTTTGATTTAAAGGGTAACTCGACTTTAAAAATATTTTTTTAAAACAATATATATATGTGTGTGTGTGTGTGTGTGTGTCACACAAGTCTTTTTGTAATTTAAAGTAAAAAATTACCTTTCCATGTAAAACCATAGCTGCTGTAATGTTGCCTATATGGTGCAATAATCCAATATGGTGACCTAGAGGCGTTCTGTAAACAGTTGGTATACAGAACATCCCCAGAAATGTTGCTTCTGCGTCTTTGGTTGGCTGACTGATATTCCCAGAAGTCTGCACTAAGGTACAAAAAGGTATTCATTTTTGGCATCCCTTGTAATAGACTGTATCCCCTATATAGTTATATACATGTGCTACTATAGAGATATGAGAACTAAATCGCCCAGGATGCTGTGCGGGAGGAAGCAAGAGGACTAGGGGCGGTAGTCACAGAGCGCGGGGGGCAGTCTAGGAACAGGATCTGAAATGTGCGGAGGTCCGTGAGACTGTGTGAGCGAAGGCTGCCCGCAACAGGGCAGTGTGGTCACTTCTGTCTGATAGGGACAAACAGGCTCTGTACCGCAGTGTGAAAAGACTATTGTCCAGAGTGAGAGAGATGGAGATTGAGTGCCCACACTGAGGCCTGGTGACGCGTCATCGGCGGAGGTATCACGGCCTGGTGATACGGCCGATCCAGCCCCTGAAGTGACCCAGTCAACCCAACTGAGTAAGGGGAATCGAACTGAGCCAGTGATGATTGTCGTCAGAGATCCTAGATGACCATAGACGAGCGGTAATGTGTTCCAGGAAACACTAGACAAGGGGTGATGTGTTCCAGGATACCCTAGACAAGGGGTGATGTGTTCCAGGAAACCCTAGACGAGGGGTGATGTGTTCCAGGAAACACTAGACGAGCGGTGATGTGTTCCAGGAAACCCTAGACAAGGGGTGATGTGTTCCAGGAAAACATAGACAAGGGGTGATGTGTTCCAGGAAACCCTAGACAAGGGGTGATGTGTTCCAGGAAAACATAGACAAGGGGTGATGTGTTCCAGGAAACCCTAGACGAGCGGTGATGTGTTCCATAGATGACTTCTTCTTCCTCCTAAGTGACGTTCTGACGAAAGAGGGACTTCCACCTGCTGCTGAAAGACATCATCGATTCCAAGATAACCCTGGGAGTGGTTAGAGGCCTCTGGGCCATTGTGACAATGTACTTTTACACATCTGCTACACAGTATGGGCCCCAACGTTGGCTAGCCTAGGACCTTACTACTGGCCAGTAGTCTAGAGGTGGTGTGATACTTTCCAGGGGAGATATTATAGTTTATTTATCACAAGATTCATTCCTGAGACAGTCTGGCGTCACAGGTTTCCATATAGGCAATAGATAGCCGCGATGACTGGGTGCCAGAGTGTCTCAGCCTCTTGTTGATTGTACTGTATGTGACTAGTACACCACCAAGACGATTATTTGGTATTCCTCAGCCATTAAATCCTTTACAAAACTCTGCAAAGGTGCGTTAGTGTGCTGTGGATCCATCATTGGGCGGTACACTGGTGCAGGGGGACAGAAAGACCCGTTACAACCAGCGGCTCCTATGGTGGTGAGCGCTACAAGACATTTAATTTTTTTGTGAGATAATCCCTAAGAGTTAATATCATTTAAATATGTGAAGCGGCGCTGTCACCCAACACAGTAAACAAATATGTGGAAAAAAAACAAATATTATAGTGAACAATACTATTGTGAAAAAAATAATAATCATTTCAAATCCAATTTTCTTATCCACCGTTTGTGTAAATCAAAGATGATTGTCTATAAAAAAAAAAAGTCTCAAAAGTGACTAATAAAGAAGCTGTCTTTGAGATGAAGTTGGGCTGTCGGTAGAGGAGAAAAGGTTAAGATCAGGATCAGTCTCATCTGAAGGAAGGAAGATCACAGCTTCAAATAGTGAGAGGAAGGAGTTTTATCCTACAAGAAGCACTTTGACACCCAAAGGTCTGAACACGCAGGTCAGAGGCTTATTTAGTAATTGTACAGTGTTGTTGCCATTGCTGTTAAATTTATGGTGAATGAGGTTTCATTCACAGTGACCCTCTTATTAAATTTGATACCGGTTAACCTGACTTCACTAGAGATGCCCCCGTAGGCCTAACACAAGCTGATCAATTAAAAATAACAAGTACGATGCAAGATTTAACTAGTGTCTGTGTTGTTTCTTTTTTATGATGTAAAAGGTTCATTAGCTAATGCTATAATGATGTGGAAAGAGCTGTAATTAATAACAAACAGTTTCATCTTTCAATTAGTCAAAACAGACATTAAAGTGAAGCTGTTGCTGTGCCCTTTAAAGGGTAAGTGCACTTTTGTTGAGAAAAACTGTTTGTTGCAGCAAGTCCTTTCCATGCAGATCCCTGAATTGGAGGGTCTGAGTTCATTATAATCAGTAGGTGGACTTCCTGTGTTGTAATAAGGAAAGGTGCAACTCCCAAACTACATCACTTGTGGGATTTTCCAGGTCTGCAAAAGTCAGGACTAGGGATGGGCTGCATGTTCGAGTCGAACATAGGTTCGACTCGAACATAGCCTGTTCTAGCGTTCGCCGAACATTACGGGATGTCCGCGGTCTGTTCGACCGCGGTACATCCCACAATGCACTGCGCCGTCCGAAACGGTAATTGGCTACAGTCTTGCACCTGACCGCAGGTAGGTCAGCCTATATAAGGCTGGTGATACCGCGGCCCTATTTAGTGTGTTGTAGGAGATAGAGAGAGAGAGGGTTCTAGTATAGTTAGTTACAGCAGATTGATAGAGAGTTATAGATAGTTATAATAGACTTGCATTGAGTTCTAAGTTCGAATTAGAACTTTGTCCATGTTCGAAGGTTCGAGTTAGAACCGAACACGTGGGTGTTCGGCTCATCCCTAGTCAGGACCTCCCAAAAATGGTCCCAGAAAGGAAAGCCATTGAACCAGCAACCGGGTCATGAGGGGCCAAGGCTCATTGATGCACATGGGAGTGAAGGCTGGCCTGTGTAGTCCGATCCAATAGAGGGAAGTGATGTAATTGTTCCTCAACAGGAAGTCCTCTGTACAATCGTCCCTGACCTTTTACAGCCACTTGCTACTTGTATTACTAAATGCAGATGTCAGAAATGAGAACACATGGCAGGAATGGGGGGAACCACAATTTGTGCACTGATGGTCTCTGTAGGAGTATAATGACATGCTTACATGAAGCTGTGGAAAACCTATGACCACTGAGCTGTGCAGCCAGCAGAGCTGAAGCCAAGAGGTCATAACCAATACCAGGTTCTACACTGGGCCTGCACAAGACTGAACGCACATTATTCAACCTCCTATCTTGCCCCCCATTATATCCATGTGGTGCACTGTTCAAAGCCCACTTCTCAAGACTGCAATAGTGAGGAGAAGCTATTTCTGGCACATGACATCTTCTCCTGAAAGAGACACTATATGTGTGCCCATTCCATGTCCTATGCCCATTCCACCATCTGGTGAACAGCAGAGGAGAGACTTAGCAGCAGAAGGGAGGGGGTCAGTGTCGACTTGGCAAAAAGTCAATACCCCGAGTGCAGATTGGACCTAGTATCCAAAAGGTCTTCAGACCAAATCTCCAATTTTTTTTAAGGAAATTAAAACTAAATTTTTCCTCTCCCAAGTCAAAAGCAGCCTGCAGTGTCCCTCATTTTTCAAAGCTCACGCCAACTTTCCCAAATCAGCGGCACGGACTAGCCTCCAGTCTCTCTATTAGGCATACCTGGGCCTCTTTAAC